CGAACTTCTGCAACAACGGTTGCGCGCCTGCCAGGGCCATCATCCCTGTCAAATAATACCATATGGGACACATTCGTTTTTTCTTCGCGCGCGCACGCCGAAATCTTCAATTGCAGGGGGAAAAGTCGTATACTAAGCTAGCTTACAGAAAATGTTACCACAACAAGTCATTGTACCCATGCGCCAGTGTAGTAGCCAAGGTCGTCCGCAGGCCACGAAGTGAGGTGTCCGAACGTCATAGGGCGGGAAGCTGGGTGTGGGTGGTGGCGATGAGTCGTTTGGAAATTTAGTAGAGCTTGAACCGGCCCCCCCACAAAGTGGGGGTATTGCCCGCCTCCTATGAAAACCCTGGCACTGGTGAGAACGGAGTGTCCCCACGTGCTAGTAATTGTTGTTGTTGTTGTTGTTGTTGTTGTTGTTGTTGGTCTTGTTGGTCTTGTTGTTGTTGGTCTTGTTGAATTCTCACTATTGAAAAATTATTATGATTGATCTCCCCTCCAGTGATCATTCCGTTTTTCAATTGAAGTGCCTCCCCCGGGGCTCGCACCTTGTTTTCTTATCAGGAGAAGTCGCTCGGCTCAAAGTGGGTTGTGGGCAACGACGGCTCCCGCTTGAAACTTCTTCACGATTTAGTCAGGACCCTCGCCCCCGCCTGTGACGTCCTCGCAGTTTACTCGGGAATTGCGCTTTCGCTTGGGACTCCTTTGCGCTTGATTCAGGCATCGTTCTCGTTGCAGATTTGCTTGCCAGTTACTTTCGAATCGCGCTCTTGCGTTGGACTTCCTTGCAATTTACTCAAGCACCGCGCTCCCAACACTCAGGCACCCAGGAGTCGCGCTCACGCGTAGGACTCCCTCGCAGCTGACTCAGGAATCAGAATCTCGCTGCCCTTCGTGGCATCGTTGCAGCCCTTCGTGGCCTCCTCGCTGCCCTTCGTGGCCCCGTTGCAGTCTGTCGTGGCCTCCTCGCTGCCCTTCGTGGCCCCGTTGCAGCCCTTCGTGGCCCCCTCGCTGCCCTTCGTGGCCCCCTCGCTGCCCTTCGTGGCCCCCTCGCTGCCCTTCGTGGCCCCGTTGCAGCCCTTCGTTGCCCCGTTGCAGCCCTTCGTGCCCCCCTCGCTGCCCTTCGTGGCCCCGTTGCAGCCATTCGTGGCCTCCTCGCTGCCCTCCGTGGCCCTGCTGCAGCCCTTTGTGGCCCCCTCGCTGCCCTTCATGGCCCTGCAGCCCTTCGTGTCGGCCCCCTTGGCTGCCTTTCGCGGCCCCGTTGCAGCCCTTCGTGGCCCCCTCGCTGCCCTTCGTGTCCTCGTTGCAGCCTTTCGTGGGCCCCTCGCTTCCCTTCGTGGCCCCATATATGCATGTCCTTCATGGCCCCCGCTCGTTCGCGCCCGTCGTGGCCACATATGCATTCGTTTCGTGGCCCCGCTGCCGCCTTTCGTGGCCCCCTCGCTGCCCTTCGTGGCCCCGTTGCTGCTCTCAGTTCAGTGGCCCCGTCCTTGCCCTCTGCGGCCCAATATACGTATGCCCTTCGTGGCCTCCGCTCGCTCGTGCCCGTCGTGGCCCCATGTGCATGCCATTCGTGGCCCCGCCATTGCCCTTGTGGCCCCCTCGCTGCCCTACGTGGGCGCGTTGCTACCCTCAGTGGCCCTGTCGTTGCCCTCTGTGGCCCCGCATTATCCGCCTTTCGTGGCCCCCGCTCGTTCGCGCGTTCGTGGCCCCATATGCATGCCCTTCGTGGCCCCGCTGTAGCCCTTCATGGCCCCCGTGCTTCCCTTCGTGGCCCCATCACTGCCCTTCGTGGCCCCGCTCTCGCTCTCGCTCTCGCTCTCGGTTTCGCTTTCGCTCGTCGGCGTCGTCATCGTCGTCGTCGTCGTGGTGGCCCAGCATACCCCCCAAAGGGGGTACGATCCAAGACGAAGAGGGCGGGTTTCGAGGGTTTGGGACAGACGCATTGAATGACACTCGAGCGTATAAACGCGAACAGTCTTAAAATGATAGCTGTTGTTGCTGCTGTTGTTGTTGTGGTTGTTGTTGCTGTTGTGGTTGTCGCTGTTGTGATTATAATCGTTGTTGTTGTGGTGGTTGTTGTTGTTGCTGCTGTTGTTGTTATTGTTGTTGTTGTTGTTGTCGTTGTTGTTGTTGTTGTTGTTGTTGTTGTTGTTGTTGTCGTTGTCGTTGTTGTTGCTGTTGCTGTTGTTGATGTTGATGTTGATGTTGATGTTGTTGTTGTTGTTGTTGTTGTTGTTGTTTTTGTGGTTGTTGTTGCTGCTGTTGTTGCTGCTGTTGTTGTTGTTGTTGTTGTTGGTTTGGTTGTTGCTATTGTTGTTGCTGTTGGTGTTAGTGTTGTCGTTATTGCTGCAGTTTTTGTGGTTGTTGTTGTTGTCGTTGCTGCTGTCGTGGTTGTTGTTGTGGTTGTCGTGGTTGTTGTTGTGGTTGTTGTGGTTGTTGTGGTTGTTGTTGTTGTTGTTACGGCTGTTGTTGTTGTTGTTGTTGGTGTTGTTGTTGTTGTTGTTGTTGTTGTTGTTGTTGTGGTTGTTTTTTGGCAACTAAGTTTGTTGTAGTTGATGACGACGATGATGATGGTGAGGAGGAGGAGGAGGAGGAAAAGGAGGAAGAGGAGGAGGAGGAGGAGGAGGAGGAGGAGGAGGAGGAGGAATGGTGGAGGGAGGAACAAGGACACTCACCCTATCACCTTGTACTCGTCCCTCTTCCCTGCTCCCCTGCCTTTGTTCCCTTTGCCCTCCTCTCTCCTCTCTCCCTCCCCTTCTTGGACCTCCCTCCTCCGCCGTCCTTCCTCCTCCTCGCCACCCCTTGTCGTTCTGCTCCTCCTGCTTCCTGCCTCCCCTTCCCCTCCTTTCTCTCGCTCGTCGCTCCTCCCCCCCCCCGCCTCCCGGAAGGGAAAAATCGCGGATCGTCGGACGTCTGGCTCCCCGTCTTCCCCGTCCTCCCTCCTAGGGGGGGCCACGTGCGAGCCCTAACCCCTGCCCCCCGGCGATTTCTGAGGGGGGCAGGGGTAGGGTTCGCGTGTGGCCCCCTAGGAGGGAGGACGGGGAAGACGGGGGGGAAGAGGTTGGGGGCCACATGCGAGCCCTACCCCTGCCCTCCGGCGATTTCTGAGGGGGGCAGGGGTAGGGTTCGCACGTGGCCCCCCACCTCCTGCCCCCCGTCTCCCCCGTCCTCCCTCCTGGGGGGCCACGTGCGAGCCCCACCCCTGCCCCCAGCGATTCCTGAGGGGGGCAGGGGTAGGGTTCGCGTGTGGCCCCCCTTCCTCCTGCCCCCCCCGCTTCCACGGGGAGGGGGCCGAACCTCGCCGCCGCCGCTGGTTCTGCCAGCCCCTGGCGTCCGGGACACGAAGCTGGGCATGACCGCCACCATGCTGGCCTGCGAGGGCGGCCACGCCGGCTGCCTGCGGGCTCCCCCGGGGGGCGACGACGGCGGCGACGAGGACGACGACGACGGGGGGGGGCCGGGAGTGGAGGGGCTCGAGGCTCGCAGTTTTCGGATGGTTTCGTTTGTCTGTGTTGGTTGTAAGAATGCTGTGCGTAGCCCGCCCGCCTAGCTTTTAGCGGAAGAGGTTCGCTCTTGCCCCGCAGATCAAGACATCTGTTTTGGTTGTAAAGCCCCGGGGTGCCGTCCAGCAGCGGCGCCTCGTCGAGAGGTTTTTGCGGGGGTGCCAGAGTCGTCCCGAACGGCCGCCCGAGGCCCGAGGAAGGATCCGAAGCCACCACGGGGGGGAGTGGCGGTGGGGAGGGGGAAGGAGAGAAGGGAGGAGGACGGTGGCTATTGAGGGGGGATGGTGGCTACTGAGGGGGGAGGAGGGAAGGGGCAGGGGGCAAGCTAGGTGCGCTCGCATCACATCTGACGTCCTACCACTCCCTCCCATCCCTTACCATGTCGTAGATCTCCTCTCTATTCGCACTGTCGGATGTCGAGCAGGGCAGTGATCGCGAGAGGGTGCGCGATGCATCGTAGAGCACGGCATAACAGGGCGTAGAAGAGCACGGCAGAGCGTAGCATGCCATAGCATGGCGTGGCGTTGCGTAGTTAGTGAGTGAAGAATTGCATCACAAAGCATTGCAACGCGAATAATGGCATCGCACAGCGGCGCAAAACACAACACCGCGCAGCATGTGATGGCATGGCGCCTGCTTCCTTAGAGGGTAAGCGGATCATCTTCGAGAGGTTTGGGCCAGTCTGGAGTCGTGGCTCCATGTCTAGCTCCGTGGGCTCCCCGAAAAGCTCCACAGAAGGCGGGGCTGATGGAGAGCACCCACTGGCTCTGCTTTCAACGTCGCCTTCTCAAGGCAGAAACGGGCCTCCCGCTTGATACTTCTTGAAGCGACGACGCTCCAAAGTGGGGGGGCTTGGCGGCCCCAAAAATCAACGAAGCGACACCGAATGTGTAATCACTTCCGACGGTTTTTTCGGGGGGCATTTTCTAGATTTTGGGGCATGGCATCGCACAGCGGAACACCACATAGCATTGCATTGCATGCCGTGGCATGGCACCAGAAATGATGACGCCAGCGCTGCAGCGGGAGCCCGATTCGGAACGAGCGGAACCGCAGAATGAGGCCAGCGCTGCAGCGGGAGCACGATTCGGAACGAGTGGAAACGCGGAAATGAGGCCATCGCTGCATCGGTCTTCCTCAGGATCGTCGTGGTGATGTGGTAGTTGACTGGCGCCAGTCTTTGCATGTCTTTCCTGTCGGCTAGCTGCCTGTCGTTCTTGAGGACACACCTGCGTAGGTCATCTCTCAGGGTATGAAGCCACCAGCCTTGGGGTTGTCCCGTCATAGATATCGTCTGTCCCGTGTGCCGGGTGTACGTCTCGAAATTCTCCGTCCAGGTCTATCCCAATGCCTTGGCTGCCGAGATGAGGCGTCCGATCGGGCCGCCCTGGACCGTCTTGCATTGAGTATCTTGATATATAGTCCAGGTCCGCTTGGCCATGCCAATCAGCCTCGGAGCACTCTTTGATGAGAAAAGGCGCCTGGCAATATGGAAGGGCTGGCCCATCGAGACCTGCGCTGGATCAACAAGATGGCCTTTCAATACCAATGTCATCGTGGTCGCTGGACTTCGCATGGTATAACCCTTCGGCCACACGGATCTGATAACGCATGCTCTGAAATTCCTGTCTCCTTTCAAACCCAGGCCTCGAAACTCCTGTCCCGGTGCCACCCGAGGAAGAGCGGCAGCACTCACGCTACGTTGTCTGCCTTGAGCGCCGACGGGGGCGGCCTGGGCTCCTCGAAGAACTCAGAGGGCACTCTGAGAACGTCTACCACGAAACGTGGTAGGACCCGCGCCATGTTCGGGGAAACGTAAGACTCGAGTAAGCCGGAACTCGGGTTTGCCGAATGTTTTTTGACGAGCGCGTCCTGGATTTTGACGGTCCAGCTTTCGAGGGACGTCTGCAGCGGGAGCCCGCGTCAGATTTCAGGTTGGGTCTCGTCGTTTTTATGATGGCCCCCGTCGGGCCAAGCCGCGTCCCCCCTACCCGAGTCCTACGTCTCCCTGGCATGTGTGCACAGCTCGCCGCCTACCAGGACAACGCGCCTGGTGAGCTCGATGTCGCACTCTGGCATGGCGGATGCCATACTCATCCTCAGCTCTCTCTCGTTGGCGACGGACATCGCGAAGCACTTCGTCTTGGACTTGTTCGTCTGCGTGCCTGCGTATTCATTCATCAAATTGAAAAGAAGCTTGCGTCGCCAAGGATACCTGCCGTCCGTGATCAGGTCCAGTTGCACGAACTACCATCATCGAAGCTCCTGAAGCTCCTGGCGCTCCTGAAGCTCCCGCGTGGTATCGGGGCCACTTGCGTGGTGTCGGTGTCTCCCGGGGGGTCCCGCGTGGTGTCGGGGCCTCCCGCGTGGTGTCGGTGTCCTCCGAGGGGTGCTCGGGTCATGTCGCGCGGGTCATCTGCAGTTCTTGATCACGCGGACAGCTGTCGGCGGGGGAAAGGAGGGGGGAGGGGAGGACGAGGTGGAGGAGAATTATTAATGGCTGCCGCCTCAGCCGCCTACCCCAAAGGAGACTCTTGAGTTTTTCTGTGGGAATTCTAGAAGAAGACTCGAGTTTACCTGTGATTATTGCCAGGGGCTTGGGTCCTTGTGAGTATTGCCGGGGGCTTGGGTCCTTCGGTGCTCTGGGGAAGCTTGAGATTGTCCGAGTGAGCCCCAGCGTGATCAGCGTCCATGATGGTGGGCCGTGAAAAAACGTCGACGACGGCGATTACGACACCGACGACGATGATCCCGACGATGACAACGAGCAACGACGACGACCGACGACGATGACGATGACGAGGGCCTCCGGGGGCTTCCCTAGACGGACGTCTTCGCATGGTGTAGGGCCTCTGGGGGTTCCCTGGACGGACGTTTGCGCATGGTGTAGGACCTCCGGGGGCTCCCTGGCAGACGTTTTCGCATGGTGTAGTGCCTACGGGGTTTCTTCGGATTGATTTGTTCGAACGGTGTTGGGCCTCCGGGAGCTTCCCATAACATATGTTTTCGCGTTGTGTTGGGCCTCCGGGGGCTCCGATACCTCCGTTCCGATCCCGACGGTGACAGCGAGCACCGGCGACGACCGACTCACCTCTTTGTGCTGGTGGCGCGGTCACTTTTGCCACGGCGGAGCTTCAGGCAGCCGCGTGATTGATCGCGTTTCCTTGCGTGCCCTCCTGTTTTTCTTCATCGTACTCTTTCTTTCTGGCCATTCCTCGGATGGCCGGCGCTTGGGGACCGACATGTGCACGTCGAGGGCTACCAATCCCAAATCTGGTGTTTTCGTGCCGCCGGCCCTGGGAAGTTCGATTCATTTTGAGAGCGGGCCCATACGACATCCAGAATGGACCGACTCACGATCCATAGCGTTTTCGCATGTTGCAAGGCCTCTGGGGGCTTCCCTGGACGGACGTCCTCGCATGGTCTAGGACCTCGGGGGGTTTCCGTGGACGGACGTTTGCGCATGGTGTAGCCTCTTGGGGTTCCGATACTTCCGTTCCGATCCCGACGATGACAACGAGCAACGACGACGACCGACGACGACGACGACGATGACGACGGACGGATGGACGACGCACGAAGCCGACGACGACGACGTTGACGACGACGACGATTACGAGGACGGCGACGACGGAAAACGACAGATGGCGACGACGACGGCGATGACGACAGATGACCGCGAATGATGTTCCCCCGAGCTAGTGTCGATGCACGTCTGCTCACCCCTTTGTGCTGATGGCGTGTGATCGATCGCGTCTCCTTGCACGCCCTCTTTTTTTTCTTCATAGTACTCATTTTTTCTGGCCATTCCTCGGATGGCGAGCGCTTAGGGGCCTTGGGTCTCTTGAGCTGGGTGCGAAGTCGCCCCCTCGTTTCGCAATCGCTCCTCTTTCTCAGGGCGGGTGGTCTTTAAAACCCGTGCGCCCAAAAGGCTTCCAGAGGCTGGGGGTGTCAGACGTGGTGGGGGGGTGCCGGCGACGATTTTTGCAAGGTGGGCGGTCATGAAAACCGTGCGCCCAGAGGCTTCCAGAGGCTGGGGGTGTCAGACGTGGTGGGGGGGTGCTGAAAACCTACGCCCAGAGGCTTCCAGAGGCTGGGTGTGTCAGACGTGGCGGGGGGGTGCCGCCGACGATTTTTGCGAGGTGGGTGGTCCCTAAACAGCGTACGCCCAAGGGCTTCCAGAGGCTAGGGGTGTCAGACGTGGAGGGGGTGCCGGCGAGGATTTTTGCAGGGTGGGTGGCCCTTAAAAACTGACGTCCAGAGGCTTTCAAAGGCTGGCGGTGTCAGATGTGGCGGGGGGGTGCCCGCGACGATTTTTGCAGGGTAGGTGAGTTGTAGGAAGTTCTGCCTAGAGGTTTCTCGAGGCTGGGGGTGTCAGACGTGGTGTGGGGGCGTGCCGGCGACTATTTTTGCACGGTGGGTGGTCCATCGAAAACCTACGCCCAGAAGCTTCCACAGGCTGGGGGTGTGTGGGGGGTTGCCGGCGACAGATTTTTGCACGGTGGGTGGCCCTTACAAACTGACGCCCAGATGTTTCCAGAGGCTGGGGGTGTCAGATGGGGGGGTGCCAGCGACGATTTTTGCAGGGTGGGTGGCCCCTGAAAACTTACGCCCAGAGGCTTCCAGAGGCGAGGGGTGTCAGACGTGGCGGGGGGTGCCGGCGACGATTTTTGCAGGGTGGGTGGTCCTTCGGAACTTACGCCCAGAGGCTTCCAGAGGTTATGGGTGTCAGGCGTGGCGGGGGGGTGCCGGCGACGATTTTTGCAGCGCGGGTGGTTCTTAGAAACCGTACGCCCAGAGGCTTCCAGAGGGTGGGGGTGTCAGACGTGGTGTGGGGGTGCTGGCGACGAGGTTGGGGTGTGCCGGCGACGACTTTTGCAACGCGGGTGGTCCTTAGAAACCCTACGCCCAGAGGCGTCCAGAGGGTGGGGGTGTCAGACGTGGTGGGGGGGTGCCAGCGACGATTTTTGCAGGGTGGGTGGTCATGTGCGCCCAGAATTTTCCACATTTTAAAAAGTTGGGGTGTCAGATGTGGTGGTGGTGGGGGGCCAGCAACGATTTTTGCAGGGCGGGCGGTCTTTCAAAACCGTGCGCCCAGAGGTGTCCAGAGGCTGGGGGTGTCAGGCGTGGTGGGGCAAGGCGGGTCCTCCTTGAAAACCGTACGCCCAGCAGCTTCCAGAGGGTGGGGCGTGTCAGACGTGGTGTGGGGGGGGCGGGCGACGACTTCTGCAGGGTGGGTGGTCCCTCAAAACCTACGCGGCTAGGGGTGCCAGACGTAGCGGGGGGGTGCCGGCGACGATTTTTGCACGTTGGGCGGCCTTTAGAATCTGATGCCCAGAGGCTTCCAGAGGATGGGGGTGTCAGATGTGGTGGGGGGGTGTTGGCGACGATTTTTGCAGGGTGGGTGGTCCCTAGAACCGTGCGCCCAGCGGCTTCCAGAGGCTGGGGCGTCAGAAATGGCGGGGGGTGCCGGCGACGATTTTTTCAGGGTAGGTGGTCCCGAGAAACGTACGCCCAGAGGTTTCCATTGGCTGGGGATGTGCGACGTGACGTTCTAGGGGTGTGCCGGCGACGATTTTTGCAGGGTGGGTTGTCCCGAAAAACGTACGCCCAGAGGCTTCCAGAGACTGGGTGTGTCAGACGTGTTGAGTGGGGGGGCCGGCGACGATTTTTGCAGGCTCGATGGTCCGTCGAAACGTACGCTCAGAAACTTCCAGATGGTGGGGGTGTCAGACTTGGTTGGGGGGGTGCTGGCGACGATTTTGGGAGGTTGGGTGGTCCTTCAAAACGTACACCTAGAGGCTTGTAGAGGCTGGGGGTGTCAGACCTGGTGGGGGTGTGCCGGCGACGATTTTTGCGCGGTAGGTGGCCCATAAGATTTGACGCCCAGAGGCTTCCAGATGATGGGTGTGTCAGACGTGTTGGGGGGGTGCGGGCGACGATCTTTGCAGGGTGCGTGGTCATTAAAACCGTGGGCGCACCGGTCTCCAGAGGCTGGGGGTGTTAGAAGTAGCGGGGGGGGGCCAGCGACGATTTTTTCAGGGTGGGTGGTTCCGAAAAACGCACACCCAGGGGCTTCCATAGGTTGGGGGTGTGAGATGTGGTTGGAGCGGCCCCTAGAAGCTGATGCCCAGGGGCTTCCAGAGGATGGGGGTGTCAGACGTGGGGAGGGGGGGGGTGCCGGCGACGATTTTTGCAGGGTGGGTGGTCCCGCGAAACGTACGCCCGGAGGCGTCCAGATGCGGGAGGTGCCAGACGTGGTGGGGCAGGGTGGGCGGTCCTTGAGAATCGTACGCCCAGAGGCGTCCAGAGGCTGGGGGTGTGAGACGTGGTGGGGGTGGACAGAACCCCCAACAGTGACACGTCGATTAGTGAATTGTCCGTTTTCGGTTCTCGAGAGGGCGCCGTGGCTGTGATTTTCCAGGCTTGCGCCCGCCAGGTTTGGGCCTCAGGTCGTTTTCACTAAACTACGTTTTACTAAAGGGAGGTTTGTCCATCCCCGAAGGTGGTGGGGGGTTGCTGGCGACGATTTTTGCAGGGTGGGTAATCCCTAAAAACCGTACGCCCAGAGGTTTCCATAGGGTGGGGGTGTCAGAAGTGGTGGGGGGTGCCAGCGACGATTTTTACAGGGCGGGTGGTCCCTGATGACCTACGCCCAGAGGCTTCCAGAGGCTGCGGTTGTCAGACGTGGTGCGGGGTCGCGAGGGGTGGAGGTGCCGGGGCGTGGGGGGGGCGTGGCCCACACGGGAACAGTTGAGTCTCACACGCCACTGGGGTCGGCGGATCTAAACGCTGCCGCCTCTGCCGCCGACCCCAAATCGGGGCCCTGCGTTTTGGTTTTTGGTGTCGTGGTGTTGTCGAGGCTGCTGGGCGCTGCTGAGGGAAGCCCCCAGATATCCTGAGAATGTTCAACATGTCCCAATAGGTCCCCCAGCTTGCTCATCGAGAGCTCAAGAGGCCCAAGCGCTTGCGAAAATGCCACCCGAAGGGCCCTCTGAGATTCAGGAAAGGGGTTCCCAACAACCAAATATCAGCCAGCGTTGGCTCCAAATAGATTAGGCGATTTAAATCAAGGGATCAGAGGAATCGAGCATGCTTGGAATCCACAACTCAGCAAGCAAGCGAGCGTGCAAGCAATCGCGCAAGCGCGCAAGCGCGCAATCGCGCAAGCAAGCAAGCAAGCAAGCAAGCAAGCAAGCAAGCAAGCAAGCAATCAAACAAGCAATCAAGAGAGCAAGCGTGCAAGCGCGCAAGCGCGCAAGCAAGCAAGCAAGCAAGCGTGCAAGCAAGCAAGCAAGCATACATAAGGGGGGGGTGCGATTGGAAAAAAGGGGGGATAGGCATAGGCATTGGCATAGCCATAGGAATTAGGGGGGGGGGCAAAAGAATTACGGGGGGGGCAACGGACCAATTAGTCGAAATGATCTAGGACTCCTATAGGGCCAGCTCATTTGGAGAAAACTAAACAAAATCCCGAGATCAGACGGAAACCCGAATAGTTTTGCTTTCTCTCTCTGGGTCCCCCACGGGTCCACGAGTCCACGAGAGCCCCCAGAGAGTCCCCTAGCTCCTCGGTCCCTCCATGTTACTCACTGTCCTCTCTCTTCATTTTTCTCTTTCATACCGGGTCCCTGCTTCCCTTTCCTCCGTTTCTCCGTCCAGGCCCCCCTGCCTGATTCTTCCCTGGACCCTGCTACAATCTGGTTTCTCGCTTCTCCTTCCTCGTTCTTCCCTCCGCTCTCCTTCCCCTCATCTGTGCAGCAGACCTGGTGGCAGTTCTGACGCCCAGCCTGGTTCCAAGAGCTCTTTCATCGGATGCATCGTCCTCGCGTCATCCGCCTTCAATTTTGCTGGGTTTGTCAAATTCGTTGGATTCCTGTGCGTGGCTTGTTCTTCTTCGTCGGTGGTATGTCACCTCCGCTTGGCCCGCGTCCGTACTGCTTCTTCAACTTATGAATGGGTCCTTTGTGGGTATGTAAATGCATGCTTGCGACTGTGAGTTTTCGAGCCCAGGTGATTGCTCGAACCTAAGCGCGCGAAGCGCGCGCGTGGTTCTAGTACATGTGCAGATGTTATGCAATCTATGTTGTGCAATCCATGTTGTGCAATCTATGTAGTGCAATCTATGTGGTGCGGTCGTTGTTGCGGCGACGAGGCGGCGACGGGGAGGCGACGTGGCGGCGACGGCGACCACATAGCCGCCAGACCGACTGTCAGGCCCAGACGATGGGCGGCGACAGGGCGTTGAGGGGACGGCGACGGCGGCCACATAACTAGCCGCCAGACCGACTGTCAGGCCCGATTCCTTACAGATGAGACGCAAGAACCCCTAAGTGCAAGGACTCTTTTGGTAATGTGGATTTCTCGTCTTGAAAGTTTGCATCAGTTTGAAGGATCCGTCGAGCTGAAGTCCCACAAAGTGTTCTTGCACAGCTTAGGATTGCCAGGTCACAGCAATTACGGTGATTCGCTGTGTTGAAGTCCCAGGAGTACTGTTCTGACACTCTAAGATTGTCAGGACGCAACAGTCACGTTGACTCGCGGCGTTGAAATCCCAGGAATGGTGTTTGCATTTATAATTCTCAGCCGGTTGTCTTCCAATGTGGCACTTCCCGCAATGAACATAAATTCTTGTAATGACCTTTGGGCAGCGAGCTGGGAGGGAGGGTTCGTTTCAACATCGTTGATGCGTCTTGGATTTGCACTGGTCCTCCTCCTCCTCCTCCTTGCCGACCCCGATGTTCGCCGCCAGATTCTGGCGGAGCACAGCGCCAACATCAACCTGCCCGACACGACGGGCCAAACGGCGGTCATGCTTGCAGTATCGGCGGACACGACGGCTTCAGCTGGATGCCTCAGGTTCCTCGCCCTCCCTCCATACTTCCTCCTCCGCCTCCTCCATCCTATTCCTCTCAGGCTCTCAAGTTCGAATGGCCACTGCGTGCGTATCATTTCGTAGGGACATATGGGTTCGAGTGAGGCCGATGTGCTCAGCCCCGTTTCGATCAGTCCCCAATCGCCTTTGTCTTTTTGCCTCCTCCTCCGCCTCCTCCTGCGGATTACTCACCCTGTTCCCTCCTCCCCGCCCCATTACTTCTCCTGGCCGTATCATTTTTGGCGCAGGCCCTGATTCGAGCGAGTCTTCAGCGGTCGTCACGATTGCGCACCTCAGTCAGCGGGCTCCTGGATGATCACGTATTCCTGTGGGCTCCTGGAGGAGCACCTCGTGTCGAGACGGCGGCCAAATCTGATGGACAGCACGAGATGGCCCAGATGTGCATTCCGGTCCACGAGAGCCGAACTAATGGCTGCCCTCAGTGCCGTCGCAGCCATAACTTCGCCACCCCGGCGAGCTGAGAGTGCGCCAGCGCCCGTCGTCCGCGACGGCGCGCGGGGCCAATCGGCGCGCCTGCCGCGTGCGTCCCTGGCGCGGCGCACGCGCGTGGCTTGTCCAGACTGCGCGCCTGCGCCGCGCGGGAGAGGCGCGGCGCAGGCGCCGAGCGCAGACGTGGAAGCGCAGGGTCATCCGCGCCGCGCCGGCGATGAGCGGGCAGAGAAGCTGCGCGCGCCGCAAGCCTCCCGCGCGCGCGGCGCCGCCGCGCTCCGCGGGCGCCTGGCACAGATAGGACGGGACGTCGCACTCGCGCGCGACGGAGCCGAAGCGCCCCTCCGCCGCGTGTCGCGCACCTCGCGGGCGCGAGGCCCGGAAGAAGGCTGTCGCTGCGTCCTCCGACCTCTGGTTCGGCGGCGAGCGAGGGGGGGAAAGGAAGAAGGCGAAGACCCTCTCAGAAGGCGGCGGGGCTTCTCAGGAGCACTCTCAGAAGGAAAGAAGGAAAAGATCCTCTCAGAAGGAAAAGATCCTCTCAGAAGGGCGCGTGAGAAGGCGAAGACCCTCTCAGAAGGCGGCGGGGCTTCTCGGTAGCACTCCGGCCTGCTGGGAAGTTCTCGTCGTCTTCGGGGAGGGCTCAGACCACCTCTCAGAGGGCCAGGTGACCTCGAAGCCTTCTGCGAAGGCCCGCCCCCTCTCATTTACCCCCCGTGCTGGCCGCCGATCTAGGTTCTGTCGTCTCGTCTTCCCCGCGCATCCACCCCAAAGGGGGCAGGTGGGCCAGGGAGAGGGTCTCTCCCCCTGCACCTGCCGCCGCGGCCCCTGCCGGCCGCCAGTGGCCGCCATCTGTCCATCCGCTATACCTCTCCTCTGCCCCCCCCCCCAATTGTCTCCGAGACCTTCTCCCCCCCTTCGCAGGGAGGGGGTGCAGGAACAGGAGGAGGGGGAGGAGGGGGAGGAGGAGGAGGAGGAGCAGGAGGAGGCGGGGGAGGAGGAGGACGAGGAGGAGGAGCAGGGGAGGGGAAGAGGACGAGGAGGAAGACGGGGACGAGGGAGGAGGGCGGAGCGAGAACTGATGAGAGAGGAGAGAGCAGGATGAGACAGGGGAGAGGACGGGGGAGGAGAGGGAGGAAGAGGAGGAGAGGGAGGAGAGGGAGGATAGGAGGCAGAGAGAGAGAGGAGTGGGCGGAGGGGCTGCTGCTGATGATGATGATGACGATGCTGCTGCTGCTGATGCTGCTGCTTATGATGACGATGAGGGACAACGACCTAGATTCCGCTGCTTCTGCTGTTGTATTCGTTGTTGCAGCTGTTGTTGTTGGAGTTGTTGTTGTTACTGCTGCTGTCGTTGTTGTGGTTTCGGTCGTTGTTGTTGTGGTTGTGGCTGTTTTGTTGATGTTGCTGTTGCTGTTGTTGTTGTTGTTGTTGTGGTTGGGGTTGGGGTTATGGTTGATGTTGTTGTTGTTGTTGTTGTTGTTGTTGTTGTTGTTGTTGTTGTTGTCGGTATCGGTATTGTTATGGTTGTGGTTGTGGATGTGGTTGTGGTTGTTGTTGTGGTTGTGGTTGTGGTTGTGGTTGTTGTTGTTGTTGTTGTGGTTGTGGTTGTGGTGGTTGTGGTTGTGGTTGTTGTCGTTGTTGTTGTTGCTGCTGTTGTTGTTGGTGTTGCTGCTGCTGCTGTGGTTGCTGTGCTTGTTGTTATTCTTGTTGTTGGTGGTGGTGTTGTTGGGTTCGTTGTTGAACATTATTCCTTCTAAAGAATTATTATTGTTGGGACCCCTGGTGCGCGACCTCTGCGCCGCGCCTAGGCCGCAGCTACATTTTCATCATTTTTTCGCGAAAGCTTCAGAAAAGTGGATGAGCTCCGGATCCGGTTTTTTGTTGACGCTCGTTTTCCCTTGCAAAAAACAATAGAAAATGAAAATTCTTGTTTTTACTTGATCAAATTGCAAGAATCCCTTGCAAAAAATAAGGTAAAGTGGACATTCGTGCGCGCAAGACGAAATCCTTCCAAAACCTTAGGTTTCGTAACGATTTTAACATAAAAACATCAAAAACCCAATGGTTTTCTCAGAAAAAATTGTCAAAATGTCCTTCCGCGCGCTCTTGCGGATTCCTAGGAAACCCACCAGATTTTAAACATTTCTGTTAAAAGGGCCTTTGCGAGGAACCTTTTCAGGTGCTTCGACCTTCTGCAACAACGGTTGCGAGCCTACGAGGGCCACCATCCCTTGCAAAAAATGACACGAAGTGCACATGCGCGCGGCCGCCGCGCGCGCGTGCCGAAATCCTGCCAAACATAATGTGATTTCAATAATTTCAAGATGCGATGTTCCGAAAACATATGCAAACGCAAGACTTTCTCATCCGAAAAATATCAAAATCCACCCGCGGGCTCTTCATGAATCTTTAAAACCCAAGATGGCCCCAAGAGGCGCTCAAGATGGCCCCAAGAGGCGCCCATGAGGCCGCAAGAGGCGCCCAAGATGGTCCCAAGAGGCCCCAAGAGGACTCCAAGAGGCCCCCAAGAGGTTCCAAAGAGGCTCCAAGTTGGCTCCAAGAGGCCCCCAAGATGGCCCCAGGAGGCGTCCAAGCGGCTCCAAGAGTCCTCCGGGAGGATCCAATAAGCCCCCAAGAGGCCCCAACATGCTTTCAAGAAGCCCCCCAAAGCCTCTCAAGAGGACCCCATGCGGCGCCAGGAGGCTTCCCCCCTTCCCCAAGAGGACCCCCAGCGGCCCCAGGAGGCTTCCCCCCTTCCTCTCACGCTCATATCCGTAGCCATCTCGGATCAAGGTATCGCCTGTGTTCTTGGATCATGGCTTTGACGGCGAAAGACCTTCACGAGCAGTATGGCCCTGAGCTGTCGCGGCCTCCCTTGGCCGACTGCGAGAGTGCGTATTATTTGCATCAGGCGCTCCGGGCAAAGGGTATCAATGCTAGTCACCAGGCGTGCAAGACTTGGTGGGCCAAGTATCGGGTTGTGACTGGCACGGTCAGTATTTCTAGCGCCAAGGAGCTGGAGGAGCAGCACGGCTCTGCCATCCGCCACCTGGGCATTGAGTATAATACCGCTTTCAAATTATGCCGGGCGCTCCGACAGTTGGATCCACCACTGTATGTGCCAGATAGGGTCGCAACGGCGTGGCTACTGCAGTATTCATCCAAAGACACGCTTGTCCAAGTGCAGAACGCTGGCCACTTGGAGACCTGGTATGGAGAACGTATTCGCAAAGACATGCCCGAGGGGACCACTGACGGGGCCGTCTTGAAGCAGTGGCTCCTGGGACATTTATCTGTATCTGCTAACGCCAGGGTATGCCAGAAGTGGCTCAGCACGGAGTGGGGCGCCAAGGGGGCATTGAACACTGCCCAAGCTGTGGAGGAATGTATGGGCGAGCGTCTTCGACTCAATCAGTATCGGGAGAGCTTCGCCGACGAGGCCGCTGCGGAGGTCCTCTCGCAGCTTCTCTCGGAGAGCGATCCTCCCGTCGCTGTCAGCGGTGTGGTTTTGAGGCAATGGTACGTGAAGTATCACCCTGACTCTGGACCTTTGCAGTATGACACGGCCGAAAAGCTCAACGCGGCACTTGGTGACCACATGCGCGCTGTATATCCGGGGCTGAAGTACCACACGTTGCATGCCGTGTTGCGTATGCGACGGAAAGCTGTCTTGGTGTCCCGCTCAGTGTTGAGAAAGTGGTGCGATGTGTATGCGTCGGTGGGCGCTTCAGTGCAGGCGGCGGCTTCATCCGCCCGGGCCGTCACCAAGCGTGTATTGAAGCGCCCGGCGGCGCAGGTCGCAGGCGGGGTATTGAAACGGCCAGCCGCCGCCGGAGCTGCCCGCGTGGCCAAACGGCCTGCCGCGGTCGACTGGGAGGAGCCCGTATCGAAGCAGCAGGCCACGGCAGCTTCTTCCTCCACAGACGTGGTTTGTATAAAGCTGCTGACGGGGGATGCTGTAGAGGCGGCATGCGGCGAGCGGTATCGAGAGGAGGTCTCCGACCTGGGCCTTGACCTCCATTACCGGAATATGCAGGTGCGTCTGAAGGCCTGGGGGTATGAGGCGGGGCCTGGGCCGTGCGTATGTCACGAACCTTGTATACATGTGTTTCTCTCCCTCCGTCTGGCTGTGCACGCGCGCGTTGGGCACTGAGAGTTAGGATCATAGCGCCATGAGTCTATGAGCAATGCATGCGTCATCCTTGGGACTGTATAACATCAGTGTAACACATGTACTTCTGTAATCGCATCCCCACGAATTTGCCCCAAAAATGTGACCAACTATCTTGGCACTGCGTACCATCTCACGTGTACCGTGTACCACATCATATGTAACAGATGTGATCAACCTCTGTGGGTGTGTACCCCACGCCAGTGTAGTAGCCAGGGTCGTCCGCACGCCACGAAGTGAAGTGTCCCAACGTCATAGGGCGGGAAGCTGGGTGTGGGTGGTCTCGAAGAGTCGTTTGGATATTTGGTAGAGCTTGAACGGCCCCCCCACGAAGTGGGGGTATTGGCTGGTGTCGCAAGAAAACCCTGGCACTGGGGAGAACACTGAGCGTTCGGGTAAAATGATTGTGGTTGTTGTTGTTGTTGTTGGTTGTGTTGGTGTCGATGTTGTCGTTGTTGCTGCTGCTGTTGATGATGGTGATGATCATCATGATGGAGGTGGTGGTGATGATGATGCTGATGCTGATGCTAATGATGATGATGCTGATGATGATGATGATGGTTGTGGTGATCATGACGACGATGATGATGCTGATGCTGATGCTGATGCTGATGCTGATGCTGCTGATGTTGATGCTGATTATGATGCTGATGCTGATGCTGCTGATGCTGCTGATGATTGTGATTGTGATGATGCTGATGCTGATGCTGATGCTGATGCTGATGCGGATGCTGATGCTGATGATGATGGTGATGGTGGTGATGATGATTATTGATGATGATTGCTGATGATGGTGATAATGATGCTGATGATGATGATGCTGATGATGATGATGCTGATGCTGATGCTGATGCTGATGCTGCTGCTGATGCTGATGCTGCTGCTGCTGATGATGATGATGATGCTGATGCTGATGCTGATGAAGATGAAGATGAAGATGATGATGATGATGATGATGATGATGATGATGATGACGACGATGATGATGGTGGTGATGATGATGATGATGATGATGATGATGATGATGATGATGATGATGATGATGATGATGATGGTGATGATGATGATGATGATGATGATGATTGATGATGAGGAGGAGGAGGAGGAGGAGGAGGGGGATGACGATTTGACCGAAGGTGGAGGAGTTGGAGGAGGATGATGCGGGGAGGAGGGGGTGAAGAGGAGGAGGAGGAGGTGAGGAAGAGGGAGGAGAGGAGGAAGGAGAGGAGGAGAGAGGGAGGAGGGAGGAGGAGAGGAGGAGGAGGAGGAGAGGAGGAGGAGGAGGAGGAGGAGGAGGAGGAGGAGGAGGAGGAGGAGGAAGCAAAGGAGGAGGAGGAGGAAGCAAAGGAGGAGGAGGAGGAGGAGGAGGAATCTGAGGAGGAGGAGGAGGAGGAGGAGGAGGGAGAGAGGAAGCGATGGAGGGGAAGGAGGAGAAGGAGGGCGGAGAGAGGGATGGAGGCGGGCTTTAGCCGGGTGCCTCAGGTACCTCATCCGCCGCGAGGCCGATCTGGACGCCCAGGACCTGGACGGCTGGTCGGCCGCCATGGCGGCGGCGTGCGCGGGCAGGGGCGAGTGCCTTCAGTGGCTGATTGAGGGCCGCGCCGACCTCGACCTGAGGAACAGCAAGGTCGGACTCGACTGTGGGCTAGAAGAGAATCTAGAGCGTAGGCGAAAGGAGCCTTCTCGACCTCCTCCCCTCCTGGAGGCTTCGGGGCGCCGTGGCGCTGGGCCCCCCCTGGGGGCTGGGGGCGCCCTCGGGGCCACGGCCAGGGCCGCCCCAAAGGCGTGGCCAGCAGCGCACCCCAGGAGAGCCCCCGGGGGCTCCGACTCCGAGGAGGGCCCCGCGACTCGGAGGAGGGCCGGCCGAGACGGCGGCGGCCCTCCCTGCCGCTTCCGATCCGCCATCTCCGGACCTCCTGGAGGCTCCTCGGTCGCCACGGCCGGCTCCGCCCTGACCGGCCAGGGAGGATGGAGCCGGGAGGGGTCCAGGGGCCGATCCTGGGCGCCTCTGGGCTGGGCGGGAGGGCCGCCGTGGTCTCCGCGTGGCCCTCTTCCGACGAGGGCCAGACCGCCCTGATGCTCGCGGTGATGTGCCGTAGCGACGTCTGCGTCAGGGCCTTGACGCGGGCCAAGGCCAACGTGATGCTAAAGGACTCCGCGGGGGCGACGGCGGCCAACATCGCCCAGCGGACGGGCAACCACTCGTGCCTGAGGATCGGAGGAGAGAAAGGTGCCGATATCGCTGCTCGTTCTGGAGAGGCTTCGTCGCCACGGCTGGGTTCTCCTCGAACTTCTAGCCAGGACGCACCCCCAGGAGAGGCCCAGGGAGTAGCAGTATCGCTACCTTGGCAACATTTGGGGGGGGAGAGGCTCAGGGGGGCACGCATCGACCGCCAACCGCCTGTTCATCGCCGATGGGGGGCCTGGTAGCCCGCGTCGCCCAGGTCCGTGTGGATGCGCAGCCTTTGGCCACTCGCCGTTCTATCGGCGACGCCTTGTCGATTCCCAGCCGGTGTTCCCTCCCCTGACCCAGACCCCCGACGTCATGACTTGTTTTTGCAGCGTCGAGCCCCAGAGGTCTCGGCCCGTTGCCCAGATCGGTTTTTCACCCCGGGCCGTTGCTTCGACGATCCCGGGTCCCAGGGAGGGCCCTCAGAGGCCGACAGTGGCGAGAAGTCCCCCGCCGTGTTTTTTTCCTCGTGACTCCAGGGGGGATGGGGTCTGGGGAGCTGCCCCCTCCCTGACGCTGCCCCGTCAGAGGATGCTGCAGCACCGCAAGTCCAACCTGTTCTCGCTCGCCCTCATGGGCCCCGCGAGCGCGGCGCCCGAGGCCGAGCGGCCACAACGTGGCACACCCACCAGTCGTCGAAAGCCTTACGGCCTCCTCTTCTTCTTCCTCCTCCTCCTCCTCTCCATCCTCTCCTCCTCGTCCTCCTCCTCTCCATCCTCTCCTCCTCGTCCTCCTCCTCCCCCTCCTCGTCCATGAGCAGGTATCGCGACGGCCTTGTGGCCAGCGCCGCCGACCCTAAAGGTGGACGGCGACGGCGGCGAGGACGACGACGCTGACGCTCTGGAGCCGAGCGCTTCTCCCGAGGGGGGGTGTCCCCCCCCAGGGGGCGGGGGTCACAGCTCTCGGAGCCCCCCCCCCGTGGGGGACCCATTTTGGAGAGAGGTGTTTGCGTCGCCCGTCGGGTGTCTGTGCGGCCCGGGGTGCTCTGGAGTCTGCAAAATCGCCGGGTGCCGCAGAGGCGGAGGGTGTTCGGCCGCAGGCAGAGGCCCAGTCCCCCCCCACCACGCTGACAGAGCGCCTGTGATGAGCCTCTTGGGACCTCTGAAGAGGTTCTCGGGGCCTCCGAAGATCGTCATAGGGGCCCCTGAAGAGCTGTTTCTCAGGGCCTCTGAAGAGCTTCTCGGGGCCCCTGCAGAGCTGCTCGAGGAGATGCTACGATGGTGACGAGAGGAAGAGGAGGGGAGAACGATCGTGACGGGGAGGGTTAGGATGAAGATGATGTTCAAGGGTATGCTCATGAGGACTGATGTGACTGCGACCCGGCTACCTGCAGCAAGTCCGCCACAGAGTCAGTTTTGCATCCTACGTGGCGGCAGTTCGAAGCGATGATGGTGATGGTGATGATGATGTTGATGATGATGATCATGATGATGCTGATGATGCGGATGATAATGATAATGATATCAATGATGATGATGACGATGATGCTGATGCTGCTGTTGCTGATGATGACGATGACGATGATGAGGATGATGATGAGGACGGTGTCGTTGATGATGCTTATAACGATTATGATTCCGTTGTTGATGAAGATGACCATGTTGATGTTGATGATGCTGATGATGCCGACGATGACGATGATGATGATGACGACCATGATGATGCTGATGATGATGCTGATACTCCTGATGATTATGATGCTGCTGATGATGCTGATTCTGATTAGGATGATGATGCTGATGCTGTTGACGATGATGATGATGCTGCTGATGATGATCATGATGGTGAGTATAACAGATGATCATGATGGTGAGTATTACAGATGCTGCTGCTGATGCTGCTGCTGATAATGCTGACGACGATGATGATTGTGATGATGATGATACTGATGACGACGATGATGATGAGGACGATGAGGATGATGATGATGATGACGATGATGATGATGATGATGATGATGATGATGATGATGATGATGATGATGATGATGATGATGATGATGATGATGATGATGATTATGATTATGATTATGATTATGTTTGTGGTGGTGATGATGATGATGATGTTGATGATGATGATGATGATGATGATGATGATGATGATGATGATGATGATGATGATGATGATGATGTTGAGGACGACTACGACGACGGTGACGACGACGACGAGGACGAGGACGAGGACGACGAGGACGAGGACGAGAACGATGACGACGACGACGACGACGACGGTGGCGACGACGACGACGCCGACGCCGATGACGCCGCCGACGCCGCCGCCGCCGACGACGATGACGACGACGAGGACGACGACGATGACGACGACGACGACGAGGGATGACTACGACGACGACGATGATTGTGGTGGTGGTGGTAGTGGGGATGAGGAGGAGGAGGAGGAGGCTGATGAGGAGGAGGAGGATGAGGATAATGGGGATGAGGATGAGGATGAGGCGGAGGAGGAGGAGAAGGAGGAGGAGGAGGAAGAGGAGGAGGAGGAGGAGGAGCAGGAGGAGGATGATGTGGATGGGGAGCGTCACATGTGACACCTTTCGTTAGTCCCTCCGTCGCTCGATCCCTGCTTGAGTCAAGCGGCCGCAGACCAAACAATGGTATCTTCGTCGTCTTCACTTTTCGGCGAGCCCTCGTGGACCAGATCTTGGCTGTCTTGGGGCTGTCTTAGGCTCCTGTGTGCAGTCTTGGGGCTCCCTTGGGGCCCGCCAGGGCCGCCTCGGGGCCCTCTTGGGCCGTCTTGGGGGTTTCGGAAGGCACTCGCGGCCGTCTGGGGGGGGGGTCTATTGTGACTGTCGTGAGGTCGTATTGCGCCGTCAAGGGGTCATCTTGGGCAGTCTCGGGTCCTTCTGGAGGCCCTCTTGTGTCATTTTCGGGCCTTCTCGGGTCCCTCCTGGGCTGTGTTGAGGCCGTCCTGGAGGCTTCTTGGGCCATCTTGAGCGCCTTGGGCCGTCGAGGGGCCATCTGGGAGGCCTATTCGGCCATCTTTAGCCG